TATATATATATATAGAAAGCTAAATGTTTACAGCATAATGATTATAAAATCGTAATTGTTAAGTAGAATAAATGTCACATTTATAAATAGCATTTGCATTACTCAAAATATAAATATTAATGAAGATGTAATTTTGTATGGAATGCTAAGTGCTATTATTAATTTATTTTAAAAGCCAGCTATTCTTTTTTGTAACGTAACCCAATCTAATAACTTCTGTTGAATTGATCTTGATTGAGATAATACAACAGCAGCCTTTTGAAATTTCTCTTCGTTCTTACGTATATATATTTGTGCATCTTCCTCTAATTGTTTTATTTTGTCTGGTCTTATTTCTACCATGGATAACATTTCAGTAAGATATGGATTGAATCTAAAGTATATGTGATTAGGTAGAAGATCGTTCAGCATTGTATGCACAGCTAAAAGATTATTCATAAATTAATTTTTAAATAATCCAAAATACTATTATAAAATATAGAAAATTAATCTTTAAAATCTTGTGAGATTATCTGAAAATTTTTTCATATTTAATATAAAACTTCAAAAATGAAAATAATGAAAAAAAAAGTAAGACATTAAATATGCAATAATCAATGTAATTGTTATTATTAAATTGTATGGAATTTAAATTAATTTGCAAACAAAAATTAAAAACCCATACTGTAGTTATAAAAACTGAAATATTTAAAATACGAAAAGACTTTCTTTGATATCCCTAATGGTTGTTTGTTTTAATATCTTACCTTCGGTATCAGTAGCACTATCTAATATTTTATAGAATTTTTCTTTCCAACTTGAAATAGCTACTTCTCCTGATGTGGAATCATTATCACAAATTCTATTATGAGTTCTTCCAGTGCCAAGTGAAATGACACATTGAATCGAATTATTTGGCCACAATCGTTTAGCTTCGTGTATTGCTACTGCACACGGATTATTTACTAATATACCTAAAAATAATCATAATCCTCTCTTATATATGTTATAATATTATATTTTTACTGGACATAAGAAAATTACCTCCATCTTGATGAAGGTAATCACCATGTTTATATTCTTCAAAATAACTAGGAGCAGCTGCAGAGGCTCTTGCTGCTTCCCATAATCCATGTTTATGCGATCCCATATATTCACTTTCAACTTTATGCGGCAATGTGTAATTTCGAAATACATATGCCATTACGCGTTCATGATTAACTACAGCTGATACAGCAGAGAACTAAAACAATTTGGATAGATGAAAAATCAATCTCATTTATATAAATATTTATTAAAACAATACGTTAGATGAACATACTTTTGGAGTATATAAATCACGATTAGTTTTTATAAGAAGTTTATCGCCTATTGTTTCTCGTAATAATTTCTCCCACAACGATGTATCATAATACGCATGACTCCACATTAAACTACTTGTTCCTTTTATGGCACTTTGCGTAAATACTCTGGTACTTAAATCTTTGTACAATTCATTAATTTCATCTAACGATTTTCTCTTAAGACCACCTAAAACAATAATTTGATATTATTAAATCTTTATTTAAGAGATAATGCGAACTATAGAACAGGGATGGATATCAGAAATTTAGGATTACTTGCAAATACCTTCATCCGATTCCTTTGGTACGACTACATTTCAAAAAATAGAGATTAATCTCTATAGAAAATATAATAAATTAAAAAGCAAGAGAACAATTTACACATACCTAAAGTAGTGGCAATAATTGCTCCAGTACTAACGCCACAAATATAATCAAACATTTCATGCGTTTTCTTTCCAGTTAATTCTTCCAATTTCTTTAACATTTGTATCACTAGTAAACCTCGAATTCCACCTCCATCTATAGAAAGGATTCTGATTCCACGTCCAATTGGAGGATCAACATAACCCATTATCGCTAATGATTCTCTGATAGAAGCTATATAAAGAAAAAAAAAAGACAATAATATAATAATTGATATTTTGTATATATATATATATATATAGATTTAAAATAAAGTTATAATCATTGAAAAGTAATGAGACCTTTAATTTGCTCATCTTTAGTTTTCTGTCGCATTCTTAGTAAAGTACTTAATGCTCCTTCCTTAATCGCATAATGTCGAGCTTCTGGATACTGATCAATGTGAGTCAATAAATCTTCAATTCTTCTCCATTTTGATGTAGTCGATTTAGCTATTATAATACTATTCAATAAATATCGCGTTCGAGAAATAATACTATGCTTTGGAATATTATTGTTAATGTTTACTTTCCACTTTGACGTAGCCACTAAATTGCTCTCTTTTCTTCTACTTGTCATTTTTAAAATTAAAGCAGTGATAATCTGTTGTATTGTATAAGATTGTTCTTTCAAATTAAATTTATCATTAGAAGCATTCGACTTAACATCTTCCTACGACAAAAAGAAGTAAATAATTAATAGAATCTTCTTAAGTAAATCTTTTTGTTTTTGTTTTTTGGCATATAATTTTTGATGAATTATTTGTATATATAAATATATACCTTTTGAAATGATCTTTCTATCATTTTTTGCATAAGCTTTTCACTATCGATTGTCTTTCCATTGATTTGTTCTTCCTGTTCTGTCATTAAAGTAAGATCCTTAGATCTTTCAATTTTACTTTCATCTCCTTTTAATATTTTGTCTGATTGTTTTTGAACGTTAACCAATGATAATTTTCTAATAGTATTTCCTTGCACATATTCTATCTTTTGTATGAATTCGACCCAATATTTAGATAAAATAACTTGAAGACTTTTCTCATAACCAAATTTATTGAAATAATCTTTTAATAGTGTTAATAGTTTTGATTGGTTTTGCATCGACATGTTTTCCTTTCTTATGTTCCTTACGGACAATAGAAACTTTTTTCTCAAATTTTTTACACTTCTCTGCACTTCTCTATGTATTGCACTATCTGTCAGTTGTCTGTTTAAAAAAAAAAAAAAAAGATATCAAATAATTAATATTAATTATAATTAAATAGTATAAATATTATACTATTATAAATTATATTACAAATTAAAATTATTACCAATAATAATAAAATAGGACACATTTAGGTTCATAAACATACTCAGATTTGACACATTTTTCAAACAACTTCATATCTTAATATTCATTAAAACGAAATGTTATGATTTTAAAGTTGCTTAAATATTTATATATATATATATATTAGAAAAAATACAAATCTTAATCACTCTAATTTAATATACATATTGTCATTACGTTTTAAAAGTTAAAAATGGCTTTTGTCCAAACTTGTCAATGATACTATGTATAAAACAGTCGCCATATTGTTACAGTTTTTAGGATCAGCTGATCAACACAGTAACGAATAAAATTGTTTTTCGTAATACAACTATTTCAAAAGTGAATCATGATATTATTTTTATTTCATACATACCATGATCAAACGATAGGGTTAAATTTATTATTCAAGCATTAATTAAAATGATAATATTTATTTTTAATTTTATATTAATATTTTACAAATTATGTAACTGAAATTATCTAAATGAATAATTTTATGGAATATTTAGTTAATTAATACTTGAATTTCAATTATTGAGAAGACACTCGTTAAATTTTTTAATTATAAGTGTGATTCTCTACACATTTATGGATATACCGGGTGTCTCTTGTAATTATCTTCATTATTTACAAAGTTAAATTACTTCAAGGACTTTGTTCTTAAAATCATTCTTTGATGAGATTTCAAAGTTGTCAATATTTTTATTAATGAAAGCTTTTGATATTTTTTTGCATGAACTGATTCCTTATAGTATTTTAAATCAAAGAAAAACATTAGAATACAAGGCCAAAGAATGATTAGGAAGTAATGTTTGGTGATTCACCTAACTGCAAGAAGCCATATATTTTATTATGATTGAAAAAAATATCAGAGGAAACAAATAATTTAAGACATACATTTTTTTCTCAATTGTAATAATATATTATTATTATTATATATATATATATATATATATTTGAAATAATATGACTTTGTTATATTGTTAATGTTGTTATTAAATATATATTTAAAGTTGAAATAATGTATAATAGTTTTTTCCGGAATATTTTTCTATAAAATCAAAAATAACGGAAATATTTTAAATTATAAATATTGAATCACCCGATAATTAACCAAAAATAGAGATATGTAAGATAATAATAGTTATTGGATCACCCAGTATATAGGTATAGTCAATTAAATTAGATAAAGGCAAAAATAGAGTTGTAGAAAGTGAAGAATGATGAAATGAACAGAAAAAGTAGTGTAGTATCTTTACCTTGTCAAAGAAATACATTGATGACATCGTCTAATGGAACTATTCATCGACATTGAATAATAAAACAATAAAAATTAGTCTCAGTAATTAAAAAGACAACAACAAAAAATATATATATATATATCAAAATCAATCAATATCTTCAATATTATTTTTATTGTCGAAAAATTATCACGTTGCACACGTTTGTTCGTTGTTTCAATTACACACACACACACAAAATAAAAATATCTTTAATCTAACTTATGAACTAACTGTACGTTATATCGTTCAACCTTGTAAACTGTTCAAGTAATTATGGATATTAACTGAATGAGTAGAATTTTGTAATTACATTAGATTTATGAGAACGTTTGTTAAATTTCGTTTAAGACGTTTCAAGTTACACCTGTAAGTGTTACCGAAAAGAGTCCACGAAGATTACTAAACTGAACTACTAATAGAACTACTCCTTATATAAAATAAACTTTCGTGACGTATTGCGACAATTCAATGACAGCGTTGTAAATAAAATCGTACGATAACGCGTTCATCCAACCAGGAAACACTTGGCACATTCATTTAAAAAAAACAAATTTCTTTTTGTTTACTACGAACAGGAAACGATGAATAAAAGTTGAATAATTGAGCGCGTGCTTCTATCATGTGTTTTCATCGAAGGAAAATAAATATCTTGTTTATGTTCTATAAGGTAAATACGTATTTGGATACTACGCATTGTTATTTGAAAAATAATTTGCATTACTTAGATTATTATTATTATTATTATTCTATTTTAGATTAAATGCTTGAAGAGCTGATTGAAAATGGTCTTATTATTCGATTTAAAATATTATATCAATTTACAAGGTACAAGGTAGTTTCTGCTTTTATCAATAACATTATGATTGTTACATACTTTTTCGTAGAACACACTTGTCTCTTTATTTAAGAAATTCTTTTTTTATCATCCTCTAATGGCTCTTCAAAAAAATATATATATATATATATTACTATTGCGCCAAATCTTACGAAAGGCATAATCAAATATTTGTTTTCTTTCACAATCTTGTTGTGAAAGACAACAACAAGTTGTCTAAAGAACATACAACTGTATAATACGACACAACAAGAACTTTTTTTCTTTTTTTCCTGTTGTTACGAACAGGTACATTAATATGCACATAATTTATGATCTCGTTATCGTTATAATAAATTTATTTAAATGTATATATATAATTACAATAATATAAGATTTTACATCAACAACACTTAGTATATAAATAAGTGAATCTATATATTAAGTTTTGTTTGCTAATCGTGAATTAAGGTGATAACAAACTCATTGTGACATTCACTATAGTAGTTGTAAATAAACTTACTTTAGAAATGTATTTTTTGTTTTTTAGTCATGAATATAATTCAATAGACTCAGTTAACAAGATACTACATTATTTTCTAATCATAGTTTTCTTTGATTTGTAGAATTTACAAATACACATAATTCAAGAATTTCAGCAGGAAGAAAAACATTTGATAATAGTATTATCTTAAATTGTTTCTATCTTCAAATACCTGCTATATGATGATATTGCCTTAAATCATATTTTAATTAATAACTTACTTTTTTTTTTTTGTCAATTATATACTTTTACTCGCTATATTGTTATTAGCATCTTGTTTTTTAATAATCATATTATATAAGCTTTATCATTATTGTTACTATAAATGTTTCTAACTCTTTGTGATCTACATTTTCATTATAATTATACTTAAGAAATTGAGTTATCGCATTGTCGTAAGATTACGATAACAAATATATTCTTATTTAGATGCGAGGAACATTATTAACCTAAAATAATAAGAAAAATTCTCTCTTAAAAGTATTTCACTGGAATCTGTATTGTTATGTTTGAAATAAATTAATTGAACACAACATAATATCAGTTTTGTACAATGTAGCTCACCTGAAACTAATTGCTTTTGCAGCAAGAAGTCTATTGCACTCTGCTGTATCTGGTAATGGTATAGGCAAATATGGACTTTCGTTGTCTTGTTCCGTGAATTCAAATCTGTGAATTCTTGGCTGTACTTTCATATCACCGAAAGGTCCTTTCAATATCAAATAATGCAAGGGTAGTGGATAAGTTGTTTTCGTTTTCAAGATCAACTATAAAAGAAATGAATGCTTATTTGTAATTGTTTCTTCATATTACAAAATATGTGGACGTTTTAATTGTGTGATAATTGATAGATACTTGATAAGTTATGTCTCGTTCAGAACTTTGAGTAGGATCACGTTGACTATTATTAATCCTTGCTTTCACAACCCATTGATTATTGAATGCCGTAAAACGGGATGTTTCGTAAAACAATTTATGAACGAATTCATCGGTACGATATGGCTTCATTTGTAAATCTACAATTAATTAAATTCTTTATACTTTTTGATTTTTCGTTACACCCTATATTATGAGGAATGAGAGTAACAAAAATGAACAATAGGGTACTTGATTATTCACAGTAGGGAGATCTAAAAAAATATTAAAAGTATTAAAATATAGTAAATATTTGTATAGATGAGTAATTATTAAATTATATATGTATATATATATATATATGTATGTAAATATAAATTGTTCAAAAAAGAATGAATAAAATGTAGAAAAATTGTATGAAAATATTAATGAATGACATATACAGACCATTGAAAGTGATTTTTTCGTAGGACAAAAGATCAAAGACATTGTCATAGAGCCTACGTTCTTCTAAAGTACGAGCATCAATGTCACGTAAAGCTTCCATAACATCTGCTCCAGTACGATGAGGATGAACGCAGTGTGCTTCGTGTTCTGGCCCTTCATGGTTTGGACCTCGCCATGGACAACCAATCCTACTGTATTTGCAACTTGATATCCTAAAAAATACAAAATAAAAGTTAATGGTTAAATTATTTAATAAAATAGCACTGTAGTATTTGAACATAATTACCTTTCTTCGCACATGGTTTCTTCATGACGTTCCAATGAATTTCGTGGGAACTCCTTGGCACAGTATTGACATTCTGCAGGCAGTTCAGATACAGCTTTTTCAACTGCCAAATTTCGAGATGCAGATGTTTTGCTGATTTCAATTCTGCAGTTAGGACAGGTAGCCAATTCATCTCGTAGCCTGGCATCTGCGAGGACATGAGTGAAGCAACCAGCACACATCAAGTGTCCATTAGTACACTGTGAACATCATTGTAACAAGCATTAATATAAAAATCTTCTGTACTTTGTGCATGATCTTTTTTTAAATGAATCAACAATTTTCAATTAAATGCAAGAAAATCTCATGTACCTGCAAAGTATGTATTAGCAGTTTAAACGTTTCAAATGTAACTATAATTCACAAACAAATGAATTATTTAACTTTATAATATTTAAAAATAATATTCATTCATAATATAAACATTTTAATACTGCTGATACTATACTTCTCTCATAGATAGAAATTAATTACAAATTTAATAATAATAATAATAATAATAATAATAATAATAATAATAATGAGTCAAAATAAAATAAGACTACAGCCATGTATATTACCATGATTTTGATGTTTTATAACCTGAAACACAAAATCATATGGATACTATTAATAATTAATCTATTCATTTTGTTATTAAATTTTCTTATACGAATTGACATTATTATTGTCAATGATATTATTTCTAATGCTGTCAATCAATGACAACAGATTGGAGTAAAATAGGATGATGATGCATGGGAAAAGAGAATAGGGATTATTTATGTGAAATAACTAACTAATAACCTTTAAAACATTTATTTTTTGTATACTCTTCAACTATACATGATGTACAGATTTTCCAAGAATTCGCTTTTCTCTCTCTCGCACTCTCACGCTCTCGCCGTTTTTATATAACTGGTTGATATTTCTATTCCCGCAATTATTTATAACAATTATCAGATAAATAATATTTGACTTTCCTAATAATAATAATAATTTTTTTTTTTTTTTACAATAAACATATGGACGATATAAGACAAATATAACATTACGTACTAAATGATTATATGTGGGTCTAATAATTTAATAGGCTTTTACACAATTTTCCTACCTATAATCATTATTTATTCTTTCGAGAGATTCAATAAGACATAAAAATAACTAATTGATTTCTAATATGACTCTATCTAAAGAAAATTATATGCGTATATTAAACAACTGTATAAAAATTTATAAACAAGGGAACATACAAAAGTTTAATTTATATATGTAACCTTTGTTAATTAAAACTATACTTCATTATTATTATTAGCCTATAAAACAGTTTAATAAATACTATTTAATATGTGCTCTTGTTATATATATATATATATATTTTTTTTTGTCAGTATTATTTCTAACAAAAGCAGGCAACTATATTTATATGTTAGTAACATCGGGTGTAATATATTTTTCAAATATAAAATACATGTCTTTTTAAAATAAAAGTGTTCTCACACATATAACGAAAAAATTTGAAGGGAAAGAAAAAGGTAGAGAAATAATTACGCAATATATTGGAAATTTGGATCAATAACAGTTAACTGAGAACATTTGGTTTTGTCAGGACTTTTCAAAGTTAAGTACTGTACTTACATGCATGCATATATATATATATATTAATTAGTTATAATAGGAAATAATATCGAATTCTTTATATCATTAAGAAACCTTCTGTTAAATATTTCTTAAAACAATATAGATATATATATATATATCTTCAATTATAAATTAATATATAACATACACACATATGTGATGTATAATATTAATTTATTTTTTTATACATCACATACAAATGTAATAAATATTAAGATATAATTCAAGTGTAAATTAATGCACGTATAATGTCTACATATACACAAATACATATAAACGATCACTTTTAAAAACAATACATTTTCTACTATAATAATAATATCCTGCAATTATCTGAAAATTAAAAAAAAAAGAAAAAAAAAGAAAAAAAGAAAAAAAGAAAAAATTTACAGGAATTTAAACACGTTACTTTATCTTCGCGTCCCTTACATGTATATTATTAAAATGTATTTTATTTAGAAATGTTAAGTACAATTATATTTTATTTATAACCATGCTTTTATTATTTCTTAAATTCGTTCATGATCCAATTGATCGATTAATATTTAAATATAAAACAGAGTTTTGGAAAATGATTGTATCATTATATTTTTATCAAATTAATTTACATAGTAATCAATAGTTCTTTTTTCTTTTAGTTTCAAAATTACATATTATATTCATTCTTTTTTTTTTTTGGTTTCTTCTGAAAATGCATTACAACTTTACCTACCTGTAAAAACTTTAGTTCTTACCTTTGGTTTATAATGTATAATATTTCCAGAGATAAGTAAACAAAAATATATGTATATATATATATATATATATATATATGTATATGTATATATATACACCGATGATATGCAATATTAAATTATATATGAGAAGATTATCTAATTGATATTTAATATTAAATTAATTCCAATTAAATATCCAATATGTATATATATATATTGAATAATATTAACATTTGTAGATATCCATTTTGATGGCACGTTATGATAATGTTATGTAACAAAAAAAAGTAAATAAATTAAATGATCAATTTTTTTCTTCATTGGATGATAGTTTATTCATTAAAATTAGTTGTACATAGAAAAATAAGAATATATTAAAAAAAAAAAAACAAAAAACAGATAAGAGAGACAACAAAATTTTTTTTCTTCAAAAAGGAAAAAATATGAGATACAGTTTCAAAAAATTGTAAAGAATATNTATATATTATAATTATAAATATAAAAAAAATTGCATATAAATGGTAAACAAAATATTAGAAGAAAAAATATTTTTCGCCATATTAGAAATCATTGACTACCACATGAAAACCTCGTTGTCCAGAAACTCATGTAATGTCGTTAATTATCCACGGATTCTAATTATAATCGAATTAGAGAACGCGTCTGAAGCAGTTATTATATAGGTCAATGACCTTAAGAAGTCAATACCAAAGAAAGGAAGACATTCATTTAAAAAATTAACATTGAAAAATTAATTGTCCATAGCTGAAAATTGAATGAAATATAAACTACGTCGTAATATAAATTTTATATATACATATATATAAATATATATATATATATATATTTATATATACATATACACACATACATAAAATGACGCACGTAATGTATACACGTACACATGTGCAGAATATACAAATTAAATACAAATAATATACATATATGCATAATAAAGAAATGTCTCACGCAAGGACAATGCCCAGAGATAGACATATATTCCATGTTGATTAAAAACGTGGGTGGAATAAGGAAATAACAATGTAATAGTAAATCCTTGACAAACGATTAAAAGTTCAAATTGCAATAAAATAGATATCACAATAAATGTAAAATAATAAGTAAAAGCTTTTCTTTCATCGTTTTTGTTTGTTTGTTCGTTTTTTTTTTTTTTTTTAAGATAGGAGCACCGTAAACTTACCTGATAGACGGCCGCCCTGGGCAGATCAAGACAAACTGCGCAGCAGAGGATGCCGCCCAATCGGTGCTCCAACTTCTGCTCGGTTTTCCCATCGCCTCGCACCTGTTTACGACGCTTCTTGTCGGGCTCGAGGAAATCCTCGACCTTTTCAATCTCGTCTCGCATCGGTGCAACCGACGCGGCCTGCTCTAAAACGCTGCTCGAGGAAGCAGCCTCGTTGCTCGGCTCCGCCATGTTCATTGTTTTGATTTTTCCTCTTGTCGAATGCAGCACAAATTCTAATCAGACTTTGACTGCAATTTTCTCTGTCTTCCGCAAGAGGCGCAACTGGACATTCGCAACTCGCATATAACTTGACGATGATTGGTTGATTTGAATTCATACCGAGAAAGGAAAGAAAATGTCATTCATATCGGTATTATATTTTGTTCTTGTCAGCGCATTACGTCATACTTTAACAAAGCCTAATTTACATACGTACTATCGATTATTATATTGTCTAATAATCGAAAAAAAGATCGAAGAATGTCACGATCCTAACGATATTATTCTTTCTAATAGAGAGAGTATTTTGTTTGTTATGCGCATGCACAGCAATTATCTCAACAAAGATAAGTAAGAATACTCTAGTTCATATAAATACATACTAAAATACGCTGTTCGAAAATTAAAGTAATGAAAAATTTATTGATTTAATATACTCTTACAAATTTTCGATAATTTTTCTTCTATTTTCTTATTAAAATATATAATAATCATCGTTGACCGATAAGTTGACCGTGCAGTTTTTACCGACAATTGTAAAATGTGAGTAATTTCAATTCGATCAAAGAATACACTTATATTTTACCGATATAAGATAAGTAAAACATTAAAAAAAATGTAATACTTATTTTCATTAACAGATGGCACTATATAGACGAATAATGGTTACTCAACTTCTTTGTGTGTCAAAATAGGTGTATGCTAAAAGTATATTAATGTATTCTTAATTTAATTCCGTTAAAATTTCACTAATAATAGATATAAATTATAATAAACCTTTTTGAAGGTATATATAATATAAAGGTAGTTATATTTATTAATTTTGAAACGTATAATATTAAATATTTGCATATCATAAAGGCTTATTTTACGGTATATTATTATTGTAAAGATGTGCATTCAATTATTAATTTAATATCAAATTCAATAATGAACCTTTTAAATAACAAGAAAGAGGCTATGCTAGGAAACAAGGAAACTGTTAACTTACTCGACTTCCCTTCAGAAACAGATACGGACGAAGCAGATTTAAAACTAACACCAAGAAAAAAACAATTTAAGCGGTGAGAATAATAAATGACAATACTGATACTTAGTCAATTATTATTACTTTTCTTAGTATAAGTATATTTACATAAATTATTGCTTACATTATTCCCATATATATTATTTGCTATAAAGATATTGTTTATGTTGTAGAAGATATAGACAAGGAAGTACTGTCAAAGTTCAAAGCAATAGCACATGTGGTTGCAAGAAACCTATAAGGGTTATATTGTTATGGATAATTGCATTATTAATAACATTTTGGTTGATAGCTTTGTCCTGGCTAGCTGCAATTTTATATGGAGAAATCGAAAGGATGCATACATCGATAAACTTAGGTAAGTTATATTTAAACATTGAAAATAACTTTGACAACATTTGTTAATACGTTTCCGTCTGAATACGTATAGCATGTTTGTTAGAATAAATATGTAAACATTAATTAATTTAGTAATCAAATAAAACATTCTGGAACTAATTGTAGTGAACTGATTAATGAATGATTTGTTTTGAATTAAATGAAAATGATTTTGCAAACATTTCAATGTGTGAATAATTTTTAGTTCATAATATTACAGTTAAAAAGGTATCATACTAAACTTAGGTATACTTTTGACAAATGTATAAGATTAATCTTTTTTTAAATAAGTGTTATCTATTTAACTGTAAATGTAAGATAATAGATGGTTATCAAAAAAAAAAAAAAAAAAACAACAATTTTAAGTGCTAACGAGTAATATTAATATTAATATTAAACCTATCGCGCGACTCTACTCGACTCTGTAACTGATAGAACGACAAATCAGTTTGAATAAAAGTTAAATGTTTTAATATTGAATAAGTAAAATAATTTGTAATTAATAATACAATACAATAATAATACAAAGTTAGTTCTTGTAGAATCATTAAAGTTACGATGGGCATGATTAGTACTTGGATAGATGACTTTTTTGGAACACTTTATGCTGTTTACTCCAGAGAGGTGATAAGATAGTTTCTATGGAAAAATGATAGAATTGTGTTGTAAAAATGTTATAGGAAAATTTCTCAAATAATAAAAATAATATTTATTGTTATATGGTTGTTGTAAAGTTAAATGAAAAAAGACAAAAGAAAAGTAATAACATTCAATGTAGAATTTTCATTTAATGATTCTACTAGCCATGGTATGTTAATTGTTAATTTTTTCATTCGCAAATAAAAAACACAAATAAAAATACAAATAAATATCATTCATTTTATACGTGTTTATTTCAAGCATATAAAATATTAAAAGAAAAAAGAAAAATTAAGTTATATAAAATTTATATTGAATTATACAATATAAATAAATTATATATTAAATGTAATAATATATAATAAATTTAAATTATGTTATTAATTAAATTATGTCAATATTAAAAGAATAATTTGTTTATACTAATACAACATTGTTCAAGTTTACTCTATTATTACGTGCGTTAAAAGATTATTATGAAAATGTATTTTCTGCGTTATTATTAACAATAAATGTACCATGATCAGTTTTCAAATTTTTAACAGAATTTCTTACAAGTTATAGTGTTATTTGATAAGTCAACAATTCTTATTGCATTATAGATAGATTTTTTTTTCTATGCATACATCATAAAATATATAACTTTTTGAAGACAGCAGGGATCATTTGATCAACTCCTGTTAATACAAATGACTAATTAAAAATATTTGAATTAAAAATTCTAAAAATAATAACATCTATCTTCATTGAACTTTACAATAATTATAATTATAAATATTATTATATTATATTATTTTAAAAATTATTTTATTTATTATCTAATCGATTAAATATATATCAAACTAATTATGATGATCATTAAATTAGATACATTACAAATTTCGTTAGAAATATTTGACATTTAATTTGTTAATGATAAATAAATAATATTATATTAATTATTTGATATTACACATAAACAATTGGAAATATTACAGTTAAAAGTTAGTCAAATTAACAATCAATTTTTTTCATTTCTTCGCTCAATATTACATTAATTATAGATAGCATTTTATTAATATTTAAATATTATTATTTATCTTTAAAAAAAAAAAAAAACTGGTGAATATCGAATTAATTATAATCTGCAAACTATTATAAAAAAAAAAAAAAATATACATTTTGTTAAAAATAAGTTATTTGTTAGAATAGAGTATAAATAATAATACATAAACTATCGATAGTTTTACTGTTAACAATTTTCATTTGTATAAAGAATAATAATAATAATAATAATAATAGGAATAAGTTTTTTTTACCGTACGAAGCAACCCCTAGCGGTAGAAGTAAAGTTGTGGTTCTCGTGCGAAAGCAACCCCTTCGTCAGTCGATATCAGAGACGACGAGACGACGACGACGACGACGACGACGACGAGTGGCGGGCGAGTCCCGTACATTCTGTTAAAACGTGTGTGTATGTGATGTGTGTGTGTGTGTGTGTGTGTGTTTGGACGCGTGTATATGTGTCGATATAATATTGTGGCCTCCTCAAAAATTGTTCGTACATTTTCGCATTGTCGTTTTAATATTTTCACCTTTTAATGATTTATATAACAAGGCCTAAATTCACTTACTTATTTAACACGCGTATATCTTTCACTGTTCAAACACAAAAGTCAACCTTTTTTTTTTTTAAAAAAAAAAAAAAAAAAAAGAAAAAATTCACCTGAACGTCTACAGTTTACGATCGATTACGATGAAAGATAAAATAATATATCATTGTAATCGTCATTTTAAATATGATATTTAATTGAAAAATTCATCGATCGTTATACAGAATTTTTCAAAGGTGAAAAATACGGTGTGTCACGGATTGTTGTTCATTTGTGCAATTTTATTTTGTCAATATCGAATGATATTTCTTATTTAAATAGATGAAGAAGAACGAGGGAGGAATACAAATAATATATATAAAAGAGAAAAAAAAGTATTAAAAAGATAAACGTTAAAATTGTAAGATTTACGTGTGTCGTACTTTTTTTATCGTCTTCTTATTTTCTCTCTATTCGTGTTTCCTTCCTCTTGTACAAGTTGTATACAACAAAGGTCGAATCGATGAGAAAAGACTTTTATAATTCATTTCTAGCGTGGGCGAAGCTTAACATTAGACGCGACTGAAAAGATAACAGAAAACGATACCACCGTTTCATATCACCAAGAGATATCACGTTAATTCAAATGGTGTTAAGGTCGAATGCGTTTTTTTAATTGAGGAAGAGAGAGAGAGAGAGAGAGAGAGAGAAAGAAAGAGAGACGTGTGTGTCCAAGTGCCGAAAGTGTTTTTCGCGATACAGATAACAGCTTGCCTGTTAACTAACGTATTGTTAGTTTGTCGTGTTCATTTTCATGACAAAAAATTTCCACGATAATATGACTAATATGATAGACATTTGGTTGTAAACTTTAACACCAGTTTATATGTCAAATACGTAAGTCATAATAATCACACATCAACGTAGTAGCCTATATATTATATATTTAGTAAAATAACGAAACTAAAAACTTAGATGAAATATAATTAAAAATATACAAATTTGATCGAAATATTACATATTACTTCATTGATAGAATTAATGATAAAAACCATTGATGGTTTCGTTATTGTTTTATTAAATAATTTTAAGTTATTTTTGAAAAGTAACGAACTGTTGTGTTCACATAAAAATTTAATTGAACATATATATATATATATATTATTTCAAATAATTGACCATTGGTTCTTCTTTTTTTAATGATAAATAACATTTAAACATTTCGTAAACATTTTACAATATAACTTTGTTCAATTATATTATAATAAATTTTACTAATACATTTTTTTTACATTTATTTCATATATTAATATGTCATTCAGGAGAAAGAACGTTTAAAGTAAAAATTAGAGATAACGTTATATCTGAACGAGATAACGATTTTAAGTATGTAGTATATATGTCCAATAATAATAATAATAATAATAATAATATATTCACGTAGGAATTATCTTATAATCTTATGTTTCTATTCTCATAACAAAGTATTTAATTAAAATTAAACGTTAAACCGGTGGGGTAATGTTGAAATATAGTCATCATCATTTAATATATATATTTCTTAACACCAACAAAAAATAACAATATTATTAGCTTACTATTAATGTCATTAGCTTCTCATACTCTCATGCGGTTAATTATTTGATATTCCTTATCATTCGTAACAAACGGAAAGCAACTGGGCTTTGGTTTCGTGATAGAGACCAAAGCAATCAGTTAATTATCACGAAGAGAAACTTGAACAAGTGCACTTGCACGGTACCGCGCACATCTACACACAGAGGAGACATACATAAATGTAAAATACTCACGTGTTATATGATTACAGACATTTGTCGTATTTATTGTTTTTATATTTTTCATATGTGTGTGCGTAATAAGTTTTCCTTATAAGTAAATACACAATGAGTCAACATTTATTACTGTCTTCAGAATGATTTTATATATATATATATATACTGATTTAAATAACATATACAAATAAAAGTGATCCATAATTTATGGACTATATACTCACATGCATATTTGTAATTTCGTATGAAAATTTGATGAGAAATAGAAAATAATTTGATTTTTGCAATAATTATTGACACACATTGTAAAAAAAAAAAAAAAAGAAACGCACACGTAACTGTAAAAAGAGTAAGAAAAATGAACACGTATGCAATAGTAGTATAGAATAATGTATAACGCGTGAGCCAAAAGATGCGCACTCGCGCGCTCTTCTACAAAGCGCGCGTACCTTCTGTTATTGTTGACTATCAATCTGATGATAAGAGTCTTTCAGTATTGTGACAATGTTCGGTTTGTAAATGCATCGTCGTTTAATCGCACCGTATCGTTGTTATTGTTAATCGTTAATTATACCCTCTTACACACATTAGTAAATTTCCACGAAACAATTTGTATCTATGTATAATATACATTTTCAGTATTGTTTCGTGTTAAACGAAAGGTAATACGAATATACTTTGACGCAAACTAGTTCTAATTTTATTAATTTCATTAAAACAAAATATATATATATATATATTGTTCTTCACATATTTCGTAATGAGATATTTTTTTATTATTATATAATTAATTAATTATATAATATTATTTATATATTAAATATTATAAAGATATATATATATATAATATATAAATATTATAATAAATATTTATTATATTATATTATTAATTTTAAATTGATATATTAAACAATGAATCACGTTTATCGTTGGATCTTACATATGTGTGCATAAGTTATTATTATTTCAGTTAGCATTGTTATAATAATGTTTCTTATTTTCTTTCTATATACGTGGAAGAAAGATAAATGTTGAAAATGTTTCTTTTTATCTTCGATTAATTGGCTATTTTATAATTTCATTTATTATTCGGTATCAATTGTCTTGACTTGATTAATTTCTTTCAAATTCGTGTAACTTCACGATTCTTTTGCCATACGCTTGAAATACAACATGAATAAATAAATAAATAAATAAATAAATAAATAAATATATTTATTTATATAAATGAAAAAAAAATTATATATATATATATGTATTTAATTTTATATAAAATAGATAATATCTTCGACTAAATATGTCCTTTTTTTGGATCAATTAAATTATTATTTAAAAACGAAGAAATTTTGCGATGAAATACATCGGACATTTATTACTGATGAATGAATGAATGAATGAAAAAAAAAAAAAAAAAAACAGACACCATGAACTGTTAGCGTTTTTAAAGATTACAATTTTAATGTTCATAATATAAATATATTGCATATATATATATTATCCCAACAAGATATATACTTTACCTTAAGAATAATAAGTATATGTAAATAAAGGAGACGAAGGAGGAGGTTTTACTTGAAATGGACTCAGTAGCGGTTACCGTTCCGCTTCGTCAACCAACGAAGAAAATGAAGAAACGTAAGGAATTGGATGCACTTGCACCTCCTCATGCTGTTTCCAGAAGAACATCTGGAAAACGTAGTTCTCAGGTATTTATTGTTTAATTAAATTATACAAATATCATATATTATAAACGATTATTTTATAACACACGGTTATTTCATTTATTTTGTTTGAAATAAAACAAAATAGTGTGTCATAGAAACACGTGATGTTTCGAGGGTTGTTCAGAATTATTAAATTGTTTTATAAGAATATCATATTAATAGAAAGTTATCGCAATTTTTTCACTGTATTATATCGAAAACGTATTTTCGGAGTATTGTAATAATGGATTTATTAATAAATAATGTTGGAATTTGTAGTAATTCATATTTAAACGAATAACATTAGTATATTTTATTGATAATTTTTTTAGTATTTTATATTTAGATAATTAACACAAATTATTATATTTTGTATTGAAAATATTTAGTATGACAATTAGATCAAAGTATATATATATATAACACTATATAGTATATTTTTATTCAAAATTTGTAATACCTCATATTTAAATAATATATAGGTATATTTTGTTTATTGGAAATACTTTTTAGTATTTAATATTTAATTATTCAATATTAAAATTTTTCTTTGTATAATTGTCTAATGTAATACAAAATGTTTTAATATTATTTAATTAGACTTGATGTTCTATTAATAATGACTATATAGAAATTATTTATTTACCAGGAATTATTGACAGATAGCAGTGACGAACGTTCAGAATATTGGAACACATCAACAAGAAGCAGTCGCAAATGTAGAGGAAGAAGGAGCCAAGCCTGTCCGGGATTTCTTAAGGCTTGTAGTGCCTTTTTGGCGTGTGCTTCTATTTTAGCTACTGCTAGCTTAATATGGCTTTTTATTGACGTTCGTCAACAACTCAGCGCCTTAAGAACGGAATTGGATCAAGGTATTGCTCCGAGGGATTTGAAAAATAATGCTGATTATTTATTATTATTCCTTTGATTGTTTTTGTATTTTAAAGATCTATTATAATATAATACAAGCATCTATTTATAATGTTTTCTCTTTTTTGTTTTTTTCTTTGTTCTTTTTCATATGAAATTATTTTACGAAGATGTGACAATTAGTTCCAGAATGAAATTGTGTACGACCGAAGAAAATAATGCTTATCTGTTGTATAAATTTTAAAGATTAACTTGTAATCATCGTCATTATAATGTCAAATAATCATATGATTCAAGTTGTAATAGTTACAACAGCGTTGTGTTGTTGTTGTTGTTGTTGTTTATCATTTAAATTAATTTATTACGAGCTCTTTTATGTTTATCGTATTACAGTAATTGCCGGTAATGAGGGTGTTCCTGATACTTTGCAAAAATGCCATTCTATGTCGAGAAATCTGCAAAAAAATCAAACAATTATTTTTACTCATCTCTCAGATCTCAGGCTACAAATAAGTAATGTTACCATTCAGGTGAATATCTCTTATCATTTTATTATTAATTGTTATAATTATTGATTATTGTTATATCCTTTTTGATATGTTTAATAATAAGAATTCGTTACAGTTAGCGAACATACAACATGGATTGCATCAAGTTCAAGAATGGGTGCATGCTGCTCCGGAACTTGCTAATGTTCCTAAAGATTTAAAAGCTCTTTCTACAACAGTTGTTTCGTTGGGCAGTCAAATAAGCGATTTGGATTCGACCGTAACAAAGTTGAAAGAAACTAATACACGTGTACAAAATTTTCAAACTACCGTGTTACAAAATATCACCAATATACAGGTAAATTTATTGCATTTTTAACACTGAATTCATTTAGAATTCTTCAAATTTGTTTTTATTGTATATCAATTATTTTGACAAGATAGAGAAAATCAAACCTTTTTTTTTTTTTCAAAAAATAATATATGAGTAATATTCCATTATTTATTCATTATTCCATTATTATTTTCATATTTCATCTTTACAGCACGCTATTTCGGAATTGACCAATTTAACGCAAAAGCCTCAGATTTTAACTACCAATGAAACCAAATTGAAAACCGAAGAATTAAATGCTGCAATATCGTACGTAACAAATAACTTGACGCACGTTAATGAAACCCTTTCAAGAACTCTTCAATGGACAAGTGAAGATCAGAAAAAAGATCATGTAAGCTTAGAATGAACTATAGCGATTAGATTAAAAAATAATATTTACTTTTAATCGTTATTATATTTGTTAATATATTTATTATTAATGTGTTATATTATTTTAGAAAATATTGAATTCCCTTTTGGATACAACTCAAAATGTTAGTACAAAGGTTATATCTTTGCAAGGAGAATATGCAAAAATATCTGAACAAATAACTACATTACCATCATTGACAGAGCAGGTATATTATTGTGAGAAAAGATCACTTCTATTTCAAATAAAATAGACATTCGTGAGAAAATGGTCTCTAAAGGAACAAACAAACAAACAAAAATGATAAATCCGGTTCAGTCAGTCCAACGGCCTAACGTTTTTCACGAATCGTTACATTATTTTCTCAATAAAATCAAAAATTGTTATTGTCATTAAATATCGATTAATATATTTCAATATTAATAATGATTATAGGTGAAACAAATCCATGCAGCCAGTATAGAATTAAACGATAAACTAAAACGTTTGGAGCAATCTTATATTGCTGTTAAAAATTCAACTACTGCTATGTTAAATGCAATAACGGAAATGAAAAATGAAAGAAGAACTGTAAACGAACAAGACACGAAAGAAATGACCAATGAAGAAGGTATATATTTACATATACGATAAATGTAATTAAATGTAATATTCTTAAAATTAGTTCATTTGAACAAATACCTTATAGAACACTTCGTGTATTGTTATTGGACGTTATGAAAATATCATCAAATAAATTTGTTTGTTTTTTTTTTTCAGGAAGTCAAAACGTTCAGAGGATAAGCACAAACACTTAAATATAAGATTAATATAAGTAGAATATGAATAATATTTCCAAAATTGTGATTTTCAAAAGTCTAGCTCCTGCACGTTTGATAAACAGTCTGTAGGTAACGTAAAAGAGATGTGTAACTGTAAATACTGATAAGATAGGAAAGTTTATTAAACTATCTATTTAGCAGGAATTACATATTTAAACTTTGAGTCACGTATGCCATCTTAAAGAAAAGGATGTTATATATTGAAGTGTGTAATGAAAAAATAATGAATTGATACAATTAAATGAACATCTGTGACTGAAACTGTCTATGATCTTGTAGAAATTATCTATACCAAGCAATAATTTGTACAATTATGATATAAAAATTCTGATACATTGAAAGTATAAACATTTGGAAATACTTACAAAGTACAAAATCGACATTTTAATCAAAACATTATCTACCCTTAATTATAAATTTCTACAAACGTAATATTTGTTAGACATTATACAATACAATGATTCGTATATATTCATTTAGATTTCTTTTTTTTTTTTTTTTAAATTATTTACAAATTATTTGTTTTAATAATCACTTTTCAAATGATACTTTTCCATCAAAAAGTCTAATTAATTCCTTCATGTTTCTAAGAAGGAACGTTTATTTTTCATAATAATAATATATAGAATAGTATTGTTTATAAGTAATTAAGTTTATAAATAGGCATAATGAGTGCTATTTTTTACGACAATCTATGTGAAATATGGTCATATAGAGATAATCAAAGTTACGTACATGTGTACGTATTAATACGTATTAATGTTAATAATATATGCGCAGTTAGCTCAAAATATAATTGAAATCTCATATTGTATATCAAAACTTCATACAGTAAAATCTTTTATCTTATCATCATTACTTTTAATTCAATCGTTTTTGCCATATATATTTCTATTAGACTATTAATTTATTATTAATTATTATGTCGTTTTAATTATAATATTATGATCAAAATTATGATTTCAATCAATATTTTTTTATGCTAAATAAGTCATAAAAAAAAAAGTAAAAATTTAAGAAATAAATTCATTTAATTGACTATTACTATACAAATTAATGAATGAATTAAACAACACATTTATAGAAAATATACCAATACTACTAAAAAGGATTAATAAAAACTTGAACGTTAAAGTAATATAAATAATTGAACTCTCATGTGTACATTTTCAATCCAGTCTCATGAGTCGTCAAAATAATAGTCAAAGTGATAATAAAACATCAGATGAAGGAGAAGCTCAAAATAAATTTGGCAGCGCTAAAACTATTAATTCTGATCAATATCTTCAATACACAGTAATTAGTAGGATGACTCAGTAAGTAAAAATATAAACGTTTATTATATTAAAAATAGTAATCTATTACATTTTATCTATTATAATTTTTACTTGTTCATAGTGGGAACGCAAAAGTAACTTTCACCGCTTTGAAGGTTCATTCAGTATATCATTGGCTGATTATTTTGGCACAGGAGATTCTTTCATTGATTTCTTCTACTGCTTCTTTATCAGCTCGTTTTCGCGGAGGATATGCTGGTGTAATTGATTTGAACGACGATGTACGCAAAAGTGTACATTAAGAAATAAATAATTGCAGGAAGACTTAATTCTCTTGCAAATGCAGCAGTTTCTATCTACTATACAAGACTTTTATGGACTTTAAATATAAAAATCTTACAGTCTTTTATTGTGATTGTTATTCAAATTATATTAAAATATTTTTTTTGTCTATTTTTTAGATTGTATATATAAGCTTATAATTGAGCTATTGTACGGCCTGCCTGTTTTCCAAAGTTATGGCCTGAAGAATCCATAATTGTGTACATAATGAAATTCATATGTTTACAAACGGAAAGCATAATTTCAAGACATTCAATTAATTTTAATAAAATCAAAAATAATATTCTTATAAAATCAATTAGTAAAGTTCACAGTTATTTAATTAGATCTATTAGCATAGCTACAATAGTAGCCTATAAGTTTTTCACAAGAAAAACAAATGTAATACTTAATCATTCGACCTTTTCGTTTTTTCATCCCCATTTCGTAACATCAATACTTCCTTAATATACACTTATGTTGTCATATAAAGAAATTGTGTCATATGATAACGATGATAGTGACGATAGTTTAAAAAAATAACGTTTGTTACAGGGAGAAATATAAAGAAAAGGAAGAAATATCAATAAATCAATCTATAAATGACTAAGAATTTGTACTAGATTTTTGACAGCGTGAAATAAGATGTGCATATGATTTCCCATGAAGAAAGCACACTAATATAACTGTCATATTATCGCATCCAGCACCCCTTGAGATATCTGGTGCAAGACAGCAATTAATTAATTCCTCGCATATTTCTTTAGGATTCATAACACCTTCCATTTCATTTTCTACAACTGTTGACGACGTTAAGCGAGACTTTATAAAATTGACTACTTCCTCGTTCGTCATTACTTCCCAAATTCCATCACATGCTAAGACAACAAATTCCCACTCTTCCGTTAAAAGAAATTGTTTAACTTCAGGAAGAGCTAGGAAACATATTTTATACATTTAAATATACTTTACTTGTATTATTACAATTATTTATAATATTTCTTACCTGTTACCATCTGATCTTTTGCTGGCAAGTACCAGTTATTTTTAAACTTGAAGTCTCCAAGAGCACGGGATAAAGCAAGGCTACCGTTAACACGGTTGAATTTGATGCAACCACCTGCATTCTCAATTCTTTTACGTTCGTCTTCTAATGTAGGTTTATGATCTTGACTAAGTGCAATTACCTTTCCGTTAATGCTTGCCACTGCTCTGCTATCGCCTGCATTAGCCTAAACAAAATACAAAATGTTTATGTGTGAATTGAAGAATTAGATAAATATATATTGAAAATGGTTCGTTAACTATAATAACTTACACAATATAAAATATTGTCTTTGATAAGCAGTGCGATAACAGTACTTCCTGATAAAAATTCATTAAATACATAATTGATTTTCATTTCATTATCTAATTGTAAGAAACCGTTTTGTATACCCAGGACAATATTTCCTGCCTTATACTCACATCGCTTGACGATGAGTTCATGAAGGTACTTTTCAGCACTTTTAGCAACCGTTGTACCTATCAGTTTTAAATTTGAATGTAAATAATTGTTTATATCTTTCTACAAATATATTACAATTAAATTTGAATTTAATATATTAATTACTTGATATATGTACCTAAATCTATACGTTTATTTATTCTATGTCACTTAAGTAAAATAAAATAATATTATTACCTCCATGACCATCGTATACTGCAAAAAAAGCTGTGTCTGGGTCATCTGGAAGAGAGAGGATATGTACATGACAATCTTCCATTTTAATCCGCCATCCTTGCATACAAGAACTACCCACATAGTAATTGTAATTTTGACAAGATTCTGATTTTTTAGTTGTCACTGGTTGAAGTAAAGTTCTACCCATTGTATTTTTTTTATTCACCACTATTAGTTTATTTAGATCATATTTAGAAATATGACATGATACTTTTGATAATTATTTAAAATAGTTAAATAATTGTAATACTGAAATAATATCGTATGCACAATGTACCATCAATAACACAATTTAAATTAAAATATCTTCGTGATATGTTGTAATTGAAAAAATTACTTTTCAATATTTTTTACCTTTTCATGCATAGTTTTAATTTACGCTGTAAACTTAACCTCTTCTTGAAAAGTCTGAATGAAAATATAATTTCTAATATTTTGTATTCACACTTACGATATAATATATGAAATATTACCTCTTTTTATTTGTCATATTTTTAATAATTATAAAAAACAAATGATCGATTTATATGATTAATTAACTTACATCAGTTTGGTAACGAAATAACGAAATACGACTAGCGTATTGTGAGTGAATGATCCTTTTCGTTCAGTGAGGTTATGTACTCTGAGGTGATGCCACTCGTACGATAATTATCGTACGTGTCACATAATTTGAAGCATTGTACGATCTAGGGATCTTATAGGAGGGATGCGCAATGTACATTTCTGGGGAACCGGAACTCGATTTTGCGCGCGAATGATTCAAACATTGAAATAATTATGAAATAATGAATTGCATCAAATACAGAAAAAAAATGAACTATATTTAATGATAATTAAAAATTTATATTAAAATAGAATAGGTTACACGAAAAAATTATTATAAATTCAATAAGAAAGACTTAATTAAGTTTGATTTGATAAAAGGCATTACAGTATTTTGAAATTTCAAAACAATTTGTAGGAATTTATACAATTTTGATAAATATAATTATCTACTATATATATTATATTAATAATAATAAGACAAATATATAAAACAATTAAATAATAGATTTATTTTAACATATTTTTATTTCTCAATGTGGTACATGGTCATAGTTATACTCGAAAGTTCGATAGTTTTATATCGAGTTTCGGTCCCCCAGCAATGTACATGGCGCATCCCTCCTATAGGATTCCTATTCGGTTGTCGGTTGCAGCGCACCCTAGCGTACACAGTTTGTAATATTTGTTATCGTGACTAGATATATTTTTTTTGTGACTAGAGCCAGGTAACAATTCAAAATAGCTTGGAAATCAATAAAAAGTTAGGGAAAACCTGAAAAATAGAATTAGAAAAAAAGAAAGAGAGGAAAAAAGACCTGAGGATCTAAAAAAAAAAAAAGATCATTAAGTTTGTAAAAGTTGGTACTTTTACTCTTTTTGCAGATTTGAAAATCTAAAAAATTCTACAAATGTGACAATCAGAAGTGTCAAATCCAGAATTCAAAAGATTTCAAATTTTTTTCTAAGTGTACGATAATTTGACAGCCCTGTGTCGAGCAGACAAGTTAAAGTCTCTAGGATCACTGGACTACTCTCTTAAATATTTATTTTAGTTCTATCAAAGATATATAATGATAATTCAGTTATAATAATAAAACAATTTTTTTTTATTAAAATATAAGTGAAAAGAAATTAATTCGATAGATAAAATTTAACTATTGTAAAATAGAATATTTTCAGAAATTAATCCCAATGAATTTTTCAATTCGAAAAGTTAACCTTAATTTTTATATCATATGACATGTACTTTCGACATAATTAAATTATTTAAAAATATTACTGTCTAAAACGTAAGTATATAATGTGAAATATTTTCTCTTTATTTATTTTTCTATAAAAATCTTAATAAATTATACAGAATATTATATAAATAGATATTGTATTTAAATTAAAAATAGGAAAGTTACAGAAATTCACATGTGAAAGTCACCGGTATATAAAATGGGTTCAGATAAAGAACAAAGTACAGAAAATCTTTCTGATAAAACATTAAATGATACTACATCTCAAATAAATAATATTGAAAATATTTCGACTAATAGTAAAAATAGTGAAAGAAAATATATATGTAACTATGAGGGATGTAATCTAGCATATTTTAAACAATCTCGATTAGACAGACACATAAGATTGCATACAGGAGAGGTATTATTTTTAAAATATATATTTTAGTTTAGTATAAAATATAATAATTAAAAAGTTTTAATTTTTGTTATATATATATATATATTTTAGAGGCCTTACAAATGTTATTTTCCTGAATGCACCAAAGCTTATACTAATTCCAGTCATTTAAGAAGACATATAGAAACTCATAATCTTACAAAAAAAAGATTAGAGTAAGTATTTTTCTTAAATAATAATGTACATATATATATATGTATATATATAAAATGATTATTATTTTTTTCTTAATATAATTTTGTTATTTTTAGATGTAGCAAATGTTCTCTAACATTAAGTAATTATTATAATCTAAAACGTCATTATGCACGTGTGCATGATAATGTTTTAACATGTAATGAATGCAATGAAAAATTTATTAAAAAACGTCAATTGATTCGGCATATTGCTCTACATAATAATGTTATGTACAACTGCAGTCAGTGCGATAAAAAACTTACAACTATGAACTATTTAAAGCGTCATGAAGAATTACACAAAAAAGGAAATAAAAGTTATCCTTGTCCACTATGCAGTGAAGTTTTTACTAAATGGATTTTACTTGTTAAACATAAAAAAGCACACCATATTAAAGGTAAATACTATTTTGTAATAGAAAGCAGTCAACGGCCTTGCCTCGTTGAAAAAACTAGTTCTCGAATAGCTACTAAAGTTAAACAACGATGGGCATGGTTAGTACTTGGATGGGTGTGACCACTTCGGAACACTGTGTGCTGTTGACTTCACAGAGGCGTTAAGACAACAACCTCTATGAAAAGGTTGTGTAGAAAAGTTCCTTAAATCCGTAAAAGAGAAAGTAATAACAACAAAGAAGTTTTCATATACATATGCAGCATATACTTTAATAAAAAATAAATGTAATAGAACTTACAGTATCTTAATTTTAATTACGAGACATAACTGTTTGGATTAAGGAATTTTCGTATAATAAGACACTTGCAATATTTGCTTAATTCTCACCATTTTCTGGTTTATAGAATATTTCTTATTTCAATTAAACATTGCATATACATATATATATATATATATATAAATTTTTTGATAGATTATTTATTTTACTTACAATTAATGTAAATTTTTTTATTTTTTTATTTTTTTATTTTTTTTTTTTGCAGATTTCAAATGTTATCAATGTAAAAAAGTATTTGCAAATGGAAATTACTTAAAGAATCATTTAAAAACTCATAATGAAACTAGATGTGTTATACCATGTCCATATGAAAATTGTGAAAAATCATATTTTTATAAATCTAATTTGACAAATCACATTAATTATTATCATCTGAATAAAAAATTTATCTGCGATATATGTAATACAGAATTATCGGCTAAATCAAAATTAATACAACATATACAAACTCATACAAACAGTAAAAAGAAAGTTAAGAGAAAAATAACTAAACAACGTAAAATAAGAAAAGATGCTGGCATTCCCAGAAGGAGTATGGTAACAGTTCTGTCTGGATTACAATTTGATCAAAAGAGAGATGCAGAACTCTTGAAAAGAGAAACTAATATAGAATTAATAATTACACAGGATTCCTATACAAATGACCAAAGTCAAGACGTATCTTAGCAAGAAAATAATATATGATAATAAACAAAGATATTATACATTTTAGTATATACATTATTTATTATATTAACACTAAAATTACTATGACGAGTTAAATGACCCTTTTTAATTTTTTTGGATTTTTTTTTTTTTTTTTGACGAATGTTTTACAAATTATCATACTATTTTGTGAGTCAAGAATATTTATTGCTTAAATTGTATATTTTTTTATTATATATAAATCACCAAATGTATGAGTTTTTAAAGACTGATTATTTAACTCGCTGATGTAAAAATATATATATGTATATATATTATCTACTTTATATATATACTATATATAGTACTAATAGTATATTAAGTACTATATATAGTACTATATAGTATTATAGTACTAATATACTATACTACTATAATACTATATACAGTACTACATCACTTGTATCATATGCATATCATATATCACTTGCATGTATATATATGTATATATATATATATATATCACTTATTGGAATCGTATCCAGTTTAAAAATAAATCATTTAACTGAATTTTTATGAAAGTGTATCTTTTTATTCTGAAAGTAATAATAAAGTTGTAATAAGATAAAAATGTTGAAATATCGGATAAGTAATTTATTACTAATTAAACAAGGTATAATTTTTTAACGATTTTTTATAATCATTTTTTTTTTTATTATTATTATTATTGTAATAAATCTTTTGATATTATCAGTTTGAATAAACAAAACTATATATGAAATGATTATCAATTCAAATATTATATAAGTAAAGAATAAAGTGCCATCTATTAAGATACGGATATTGCAGATAATAGTCAATTATTTCGTTGATGTGGGATACAAGTTATATTCAAACAAATCTTCTTCAATGGAATTACTTACATGAGTTTTAATATATATGTATATATATAGATAATATCATAGCATGCTATTACGTAATGTGAACCAATCAAGGTTAATTTGTCAATGTTTTGCATCTAGTCAAGCTGATAGTTTGAGACTTCAGTTTATTGTAGAGAAAATCTTGAGAGAAGAATCATATGTTGTTAGTAGTTAGTAAAAATTAATTTCATTCCATTTAAATATCGAAATATATATAGGTGTATTTGCAATGTCGACTAAACATTTGACATCTTTATCTAAAGAAACATTTCAAAGCTTTTTGAATTCCATTGACGTTGTTTTATCTGATTGCGATGGTAAGTAATTGTATATATATATATATATATATGACTTAATATATTTATTATTAATAGTTAAATAATACAAAATTATTTCAGGTGTTTTGTGGAGAGAAAATGAGGTTGTACCAGGATCACCTGAAGTTGTAAATAAATTTAAAGAATTGGGGAAACAATTTTTTTATATAACCAATAATAATACAAGAACGAGACCTGAATTTGTGGAAAAATGTAAAAAACTTGGTTTTGAAGCAACCATAGTGAGTATTGTTAATAATATCATATTTTTATTTGATTCATCAAAATTATTTGTTTATTTATTTGTCAATTATTTTAATATCCTAATATGTAAGTCTCTCATTTTGTCAAATCAATTAACAACAAAATCACAAAACAACAAGTAGAGAAAATTGCGATGAAGTTATTTATACATTGTTATATCATTTATTATTCAACTGTGCTATCAAAATTGTTGCCATTTAATCATCTAATTGTAAATATCAAATCTTCAAGAATTCACGTTTAAGTTGCATTGGTAATTTCCGCGGACTTTAAACGATTTATTTTCTTCTGTTTATTTTCTATTTTATTTAATAAAAGTCTTTCCTCTTTTTTTAAGGATAAGATAGTATGTACGTCATTTTTAGCAGCAATATATCTTAAAGAAAAACAATTTAATAAAAAGGCTTACATAGTTGGAAGTCTTGCAATTGGCAAAGAATTGGAAGAAGTAAATATTAAGCATCTTGGTGTCGGAGTAAGTTATTATAAATATTAGGTATGGCAGTTGAATGTTATAACATATTAATAATATGTATATACAATATACAATATATATATACAATATATCATAATATTATTTAGCCTGATGTTATGGAAGGAGATGAATTGGATTTAGTAAAGAATTTTAAACCAGATCCAGATGTAGGCGCTGTGATTGTTGGTTTTGATAAGTATTTCAGCTATCCTAAACTGTTGAAAGCTACTACTTACTTAGCAGATCCTAATGTTCATTTCATCGGAACTAATTGCGATACGGATAGACCTTCTCCAAATACAAATAAATTTCCAGGTAACAACATTTTAATATGCATCCTTTATTAATTTCTTTATTTTACGTATAAAACAAATTAATCTTTATACGATTCTCTTTTATATACCTTTATATAGGTAGCGGTTGTTTTATAAGAACTATCGAAGAAGCTAGCAATAGATCTGCTATAATGATTGGCAAACCAGAGACATTCTTAAGAGAATATATTATAAAAACATATAACTTAAATCCTGAAAGGACATTAATGATTGGTGATAAGTAAGTATTGAGAAATAGTATATTACTCATTTAGGGAGGTAAAGTAAGAAATGTCTCAGTGTACATGTAATAAATATGTATTCTAAGGCTTTCTTATTTACTGCCCATGATATAATTTTGAAATAATTTAATCGTTTCAGTCTTAAAACTGATATTCTTCTTGGAAAACGTTGTGGTTTCAAGACATTACTTGTATTATCAGGCGTGACCACAAAATCTGATATAGAATCTCTCATAGAATTGGATCAAGTAAAAGATGATCTTGTGGTACCTGATTATTATACTGATCAATTGTCAGATGTAATTAGTCTTTTATCCAATAATTGAAAATAACTGTTCGATTAGAAACAGTTAATATTAATTTCTAATAATTTATGATCAAGTTACATGTTTTATATATATATATATGTTGTTAACATGTATAGGTATGTTTATTTTGTTTACATCTTTCATTATAATTCCATCATATGTGTATTGTTTTTTGTAACTGATTTTTCTTTTCGTTATATATTAGTAAAGTTATATCGTAAAAGAAATATTATGTCAGTATTAGTAGAAACAAACTAAGATGTTTACTCGTCCAATGGCGCACAAATAGATGTAAACAATTTTTATTATTATCGTTAAATAAAATAATCTTGTATTTTTTTTCTTTTTTTTTCGATATAAAAAACATTAATAATTTGTATGGGTGTATGAATAATAGTATGAATCAGTAGCGTGTTTAGAAAGTATATATGCATAAGCATATGTATGATAAAAATGAACATATCTAAAATAGAATAAATTAATATCTTTGTGTATTAATTTCAGAAATATTTTCATCTACGCACAATAAAAACTAATTTATTATATTGCCGTTATCGTTTTTCTAATATTTTATGTAACTTTTTTTAAATATGAAGCCACGCCACGCCACGATTGTATAAATATTGTATTACGAAGAAATAGGATCACAAGGATATTGTTTATTTAATATTTAACGTAATACTTTGACTTTGAAGACATCTAAGACTATAATAGATGAACGACACACGTATAATTTTTCAATGTGAAATACATGCTAGTTGTATTAGTTTTTTAAAAGATAATTTTCTCTTTGATGAATGCGACAAAATAATCTTAATAGCATAGCAAACATGTCAATGAAGTTTGTTATAGCTTTTAACATTTGATGCCAAGATTTATGAGCTCTTTTCAAGAAAGATCATTAAATGTATTTTTATTATAGATAAAGAAAATAATTGATAGGTCATCGGTTACTATTTTTGCTAAAGTAAACATTGACTTATTATAAGTAATAATTGAAATTATTCAAAACGGTTATATATTTGTGACTAGCAATATTCCAATTATTTTTCAACAAGTTTTTAATAATATAGAATTAATTTTTGTTTACTAGATAATTACATTTAAATATAATAAATAAATCTTATACGAGCTTTGTTCTGATAGAATCATATTCATATTTCTTAGATGTTAAAGGCTTTTAAGTTTGAGGTCAAGTTCAGAAAAGCATATATATGTATATATGTATATACAAGCACTTATTTTTTAACGGAATACTTGACAACGATTAGACGATATCGAGGTCAAAAAGCTTGGGTGTTCTGATTAGCTCTCGTATTAAACGAAAGGAGAACGATGTGACTAAAATTATTAATAATTCACATTCAATGGGTTATACGTATTTACATATATATGTATATTATTAGAGGAACACTTTTTGGTAAACCATTTATGATTCTAAAACTTATGTTAATCGTATTATCAAGTAAGATTCTACTATTTGATTCTTTTGTTTTACATATCTCGCGAGATCGGTAACGATTGAGAAAAATTGGAGCGAACGTACGCTCCTTCTCGTCTTATCACGCCCCATTGGGATTTGAATTATAATAATTGATACGTTCGCTTCTAGAAAGATAAGCGTACCAATAGAATAGATTTATTGCGAGAAAAAATAATGGAAATACGACGCGACTGGCACGATCGATTTTCGAAACCGAATTATATCTTGGCGTACGTCTACGTCTTCTTCTTGGTGGAATTTTTTTACTAGGCGAATCGATCCTTTCAGGGGAGGAAGATTTTATAGGCTGTGACTGGGCCGCTTGCCCAGGTTGAGCTTGAGATTGAGATTGAGGTTGAGGTTGTTGAGGTTTGGGTTGAGACTGAGCCTGTGCCTGTGGTATCGATATTGGCGTCAAAGTTGGAACCGTTTGATGATGAGGATTTCCTCGACGATGATGGCTCATCGATGGAGAACAAGAAACACAAGGTAGTTGCCAATGGCTGATAGTTCGTTCTCGATCAGGAATTACAGACGACAATGGTATTACTTCGATAAAACCATCACCGTTAACTGTGAAATTTCTACTACTTCCAGGAATCGAATTACCCGAATTCTTTTGACGACGATTCTGAAATAAACAATTGTATCTATTTTAAATCTATATGTATAACACTATTCTCTTATCAATATTTTGTTGCTATTTCAATTGATTGTTATTCTCTTTTTTTTCGAATATTCATTCTCATTAACGGGTTCGATATTTGTTGCCATTGTATGAAACGTTTCGCGATTTTAGCAAAAAGAGCGATTTCAATCGCAGCTTTTACGAGTGATGCCTAGAATTGGGCTCGCTTCGATGTATATATTTATATATATCAATGTGAAAACTTTGCCAAATAACGAGAACGGGTGCCTCGAGATTTTCATATATTCGTCCAGTTATTTTCTTTTTTTTCTCCCTTTTTTAATTTTTATTTTTATTTATTTTTTATTCTCTCTATGCTTTCAAAGTCTACTCGAAACATCTTTGTGGATCGTGTCGCGTCTCCCGAGAGGAACAGTGACATTTGTTTACGTTTTCAAATCGATAAATAATACATCACTCGTAAGTGATAAGAGTAGGTACGTCTTTTATATAGACATTATAAAACGAATTATATTTTTATATAAAATTCATTTTATAAATGAAAATCGAACACACACACACGAGTTTTTCCAAAAGTTGCTGAAAACTGAACTGAAAAATTATACTTACATATTTTTTGTTTGTTTTTATTTTACAGATGAGTGACGATTCATATTTTTTTTTTTAAATAAGTAAAATCGTAACTGAAGATTCATATCTCGAAATAAAAAACATAATGTTGCAATAATAATTAATATTGATTTTTTTATATTTATTTAGTTTTGTTGTTGTTGTTGTTGTAAAAAAGCGACTTTTGAGACCTACTGTAATACTAGGAAGAGATATCTTTTTATTTCGTTAATATAAATGAAAAGGAAAGAGAGAAAAAAAAAGAGAGAGATAGATAGATAGATAGAGAGAGAGAAAGAGAAAATACACGTACCGTTCCGTGCTTGGACGGTGACCGCGAGATTTCCTCGTTTTCGCTGGAACTGCTTTCGGTGTCGCTTAAATCAGAGCTGAAATAACACTCGCCCGAACCATATTTAGTGAAGTAGTGTACTACAGCGAATTGAATGATCGTGGCAAAGATGAAGGCAAATGAAAGAAAGACGAAAAAGTCCAAGGCAGTAGGATAAGGTACTTTAGGTAAATCTGTTCTAGCTTCTAATCCTAAAAAGGTCATCGTCAGGACAGTTGTAATACCTGTAATGACAACAAAAAATGATTTTGTTTTTTTTTTTTTGTACAAAAATCGTAAAAGTAAATAATTCTAGATTTTATTGTAAGTATGATATCGTACCAAGTGATACTCGATCAGCAGTAGCTTCTCTGTTTAACCAAAATGAGACCCAAGAGAGTACTACCAGAAGTATGCAAGGCCCATAAACTTGTATTAAAAAGTTACCCATGTGTCTTTGCAGGTGAAAATATACCAATAGCATTGAGTATTCCGCTAAAATCCAAATGTAAATTGTTAAATACACGTTTTGATATTTAACGTTCGATGTTGAATTGGCAAGTTGCCGAGAACGCTACGACACAATACATCAGACATCGAACTCTATTTCGAGGAAAATGTGGACAACGAAGGAGAGAAGTCGCATTGTGTGATTCTCTGCAGGACGAGTTTGTTTGCAAAGTACTTATCTCTCGCATATATAGTTTGTATGTATTATATACGTGTACATCTTTTAGATGAAAGTCTCACCAATGAAAATGTTTATAATTCTTATGTAGTCTATACGATTTTTATGATGAAAATGTATACATATTAAACGCTTTAAAGGTGATACCGAAAAACGAGTATCAGGACTGCTTTCAAAAGTGGAAAGGGCGTTGGGAGTGTGTTATTCAATCAAATGGGGACTACTTTGAAAGATGTCATAAGCCAGACGACAAAGTGTAACTTCGGGAGAGAAATATGAAGGTAGGTCGGATACTTTTCGGGACACACCTCGTATATTTTTCGCGTTAATATGATCATTTTGTTGGTTGATGAGATATCAATGAAATTTGATGGCGATGTAAAATTGATAAAAATTGAAAAAAAAAAAAAAATCAATGTTGATATATTACAATCAAAGCGTGAATGTTGTATTATAAGGAATGTAGGAAGAACGATATTCTTTAACGAAGTAGTAGAGATGAAAGAAAGAGGAAGAGAGTAGAAAAGGGAAAAGGAGATTACTCAATTACCTTCATCGTCATTTGCCTGTTTACTAGCTATTCAAGAAGAAAGTTCGAGATGGAGTCTCTACGAGTGCCGGATATTAGATTGCAAAAGAAGAGAGAAGGGAACGATGTTATGGCAATGTTACGGAAGAAAGACTCACATCTCTTCTTCTTTTTCTTCTTCGTCTTTTTGCATTTGTTTTATTTATCTTCCTGTCTCTTACACATGTTTAACATTTAATCGAGGCTATTTTTATCAAGTATTTCCGTTTCGGAGTTTTTAATAAGTAAGAGAAGTGTAAATGACAAAAATATTATCAATGAGTTTATCTCGTGAATTTTCACGACAATGACTTTCCTTCTATTTCTTAATCCATTTGCATCATAATTTCAAATATGCAATTAAATTCATTGTCGTTAATTGTGACAGTGAAGTAAGTGAATAAAAATAAAAAAATTAAAAAAAAAAAAGTCATAATCAACGGCACGATTTATAAATTAAAGATATTTAATCGATAATTGAATTTTATTCTCAAATTATTAAATAAAAATTGTGTTTCAATACAATTTTTAATTTCAATTAAAAATACCGGTATGTTACAGGAATAAAATAGGTTGAATTTTGTTGGTAATGTACTTTGAATATTTTACCTAACGCTGGAACAAGACGCGCACGAATTATTCCGCCCTCGGTGATAAGTGGCAGTCATAGTTTGCAGATTATTACGCTTACAGGTGCAAATGGGTTAATCGTTTTAAAAATATACGCAGGTAAAAATACGTACAGGGTGTTTTAAACTTAGACGACCAAATTTCCGAGCCGTCTAAGTTTGATCAACTAAATTTGAGACATTCTGTATGTGTTAGGGTTGCCCGGAAAATTGAAACCGAATGTTGAGATCGGTTTACGAGATATCTCGTTTATGAATTTTTTCTCATCGTCTCGTATCGACGTATATAAAATAATTGTATCGAAGGGGATCGATCCAATGTGTAAAATAATATATAGCAATATAAGGGTGCCCCGTAACGCGTTGCTATGGCTCACAATCAGTCCGATTGAGACAGAGATAATCATGACTCTTTGTTAATAAACAAATAATATTGCGATTATAAATTGAGATATAAACTATCCTATCTTTCAAGTTGGATAAAACTGCACGCAGTGTGCAAAATTTTATTCAAATCGGTTCAGTAGTTTAGAAGTCCATTGCGAACAAACAACGTGATACGTAATTTGTTTGCGATTTAAATAAGTGCTTGAATATACGTTGTACTAAAAGCTTATTGGCCCGTTTAAAAATTACGCGGACTCCGGAATTATTGCTTTGAATGAACAATCCGTTGAATATTTTATTCCTTTTTTTTTTAGCATAGCATCATAAATGAAATACAACGAAATTACTTTCCACGTAATCTAATATATTAACAATTTCTCAATCGAATATATATATATATAAATAGGTCAGCATGAACTTTCCGGGCAACTCAATTTTTATAATTAGATTCGATTGTGTTGATTAGATTTTCTACTCACCATGAGACAGAGAGGGAGTTGTCGAGTGATTCGCAGTAGGATTTGCGACTAAATCGAATTGGGATAGCTTCATGTCTTCCGCTATGGCAACTTGTCTATCGTTGTTCCATTTGTAGATGACATCGCGAGTTGTATATCCAACTAAAAAGAAAGAAAGAAAGAAAGAAATAATTGAGACGTTGAAGAAAAGAGAATGACGAGATCGATCGATCACTTTCCTTCTCGTGGGAGAACTTGAATTTTTATTTAGACTTTTCTTTTTTTTTCTCCTCTTATGTTAGTTAGTTAGTTCTGTTTTTTATTTTTTTTTTTATTTTTTTTTTTTTTACATTAGAGCACAGCTTCCAAGGGAGAAATAAATCTGGCTCTTCTTACTTTATTCGAGACAAACTAGCATCGAGATCTCCTTACGAGGAGATTATAAATGAGTTCACCGGAGAAGTATGCTCTCTTTCTTCCCATCCACTTCTTTTTTATTTTATTTTATTTTCCTTTCTTTTTTTATCTCCATTCTCCTCTCCTCCTACTTCTCATTAGACTTTGAGAGCAAGATATAAGTAGAAGGAAAAAAAAAAGAAAAAAAAAATTAAGAAAACGAGAGTATATTTCTCTTCATAGTTTTCTTCATGTATCTATGCATTTCACGCGTTAGAATCTTTTGCACGCGAGATATGAACACTTTGTTATAAAATGATAATTATTACCAAATTTTTAGCTAGTATAAAAAAAAAATAAAAAAAAAAAACTAGGTTACGATAAATCTTTTGTCTCGATTTTAAACGAAGAACTTAGACTATCTCTTTTTTTCTTTCATTAATAAATATTTTATACTTTTCACTACCAATACAAATACCTTACCATACAAAAGCTAATTTATGTTAAAAATAATTCAATAGAATTTAAAATAAAATAAGATGTCCATAATTGGACCCCTGTCACTAATTGATGCTTTTATTCTAGGGGAGAATAGAAAAAGTTCGATTAAATGCTATTCGATCTTGTGTTAACTTACAACTGCCAAATTTCAATGGACATCTTTGCGTATCCATGGGAAAATCTTCAAGATTCATCGGACATCCAGCTTTGATCGTGAGTCTGTAAACAAATATGAGAAAATATTTCTATCGATTTATTTTTATAACAGAAACGAGTAGTATATCATAGTAGTAATCATTTGAAGTGTATAATTTTGTAACGATGGTTTATACTAATTACTGGTTAGAAGATGTTACATGTAGTTCATAGAAACGTGAAAGTTAGTTAGGTGCTAAGTAGATAACGAAGATCTGGATTTCGAAATTGATCAAGTTATCGTAGTACTGCATGCCATAGTTTAACTTCAACGATGGTAAGTAAGTTAGAACCGAAAGAGGGACGGACGATCCGTGATTAATCGGATCCATCACGCTCGTGAAGAAGCTCAATCACTTGATTTACTAGATTTCGTGATTATGTAGGTATATATGTATTCAATCGAGATACGTCTATCATGTTCTTATCTTTCCTATTCTTTACTCTTTAATCTTTCTTAATTACATACACACACACACACACATATATACATACATACATTTTTCTAATGTTATTATATTTAATAAAAGATTTAATTGATTACTTTAGTTATGGAGGGTAGAGGTAAGGAGTAACATCTCTTATGGGAAAAAATGTGAAAAAGTGTCCAGCGTTTTTTGAAAATAACAGTTTACAAAACCTTTCAAAATGGTGCTGGTGAACGTAGTACGGTATGGTATGAATATAGCAATTTTAAACGAATTGAAGTATGCCGAGTTATGTTTTAATGTAGTAAATATAACCTTAAAGAATTATTATGAGAAAACGTGTAGTTAAAGTGATTTTATTTCGTGAACTGTGAATAATACGTTTAGTGATTTTTTATCATTTAATTTTATGAAAAAGTATGTAAATAACAAAACAGTTATGGGTAAAATTTGTGTTCCTTGTTTATTTGTCAATTCTACTCTAATAATATTTGGCGCTTCCATTAAAATTGACACTCTGCGTATTGTGGCGCCATCTCAATTGGTTCGATTTCGACGGACACTTTTCATATACAGAGATATTACTCCTTACTTCTACCCTCCATAACTTTAGTTGAAAATGTTTTTATCTCATTTGTTACTTTCTCTTTTTCTTTGCCATTTTCCTACCTTTATTTTTCTTTTTCGTACTTAATAAACCACTTGAAAGTGCTTTATTTCAGGGTTTTTATAAAAGAGCTTGCGGATGAAGACCACAAAGGTAAAACATATTTTGCCAAGGACCAACCCGTGATTGTTCTTTATTTCTTTCTTTCTTTTCTTATTATTCCGTTCTTTTTCATATATTTTAAGTATATATATATATGTATATACATTTGGTGTTATATTTTGTTTTTTACTTTCAATTCACACCCTTTTGTCCTACCCCCACTCCATCCTTTTTTCTTTACCTTACTTTGTGTTTCTCACCAAGCTCACGCTAGCCTATTCATACCTCGCTTAATTTCTTTCCTCTTATTTTCCTCTTTTTTATCATTGTGCGAACGAAGAATAGAGGTTGTAAATCTCATCTATACGATCATTTAATTACGTAGACGTAGAGTTCAACTTTTTTTGTAATCCTTTATCGGTAACGTGAATTTCTTAGGGCCAGTACTACTACGTTTGAATAATTATATTTTATTTGAAATGAAAGTATTTTAAATAACAAAATAAACTATTACACAATGTATTAGAAACTTAACAAAAATACTAATAAATTTTATCTGAGATTTTTTGTTAAATAACAATAAAATTGAACAAAATCCACTCATGCATATTGGCGTTTAGTAAAAAGCCATTTTGCGTGAACCGAGGATTAAATTTTGTTCAGTTTAAGTATATGTAGATTAAATGAAATTTTGGATTTAATAGGGATTACTTTTTTTTTTTTTGAACAAGTCCTTTCTTAGGAAATATATTTTTGACGAGCAGCATTCAAGGGTAGATTAAGAACCGATTAGAGAAGCGAAGGTTTGACTTAATTGTCAGCCTAGAAACCGGAAACGTTTCTCTCGTGAAAAGAGGAGCTAGTTCACTTTGAAAGATCAAAAGGGTCTGACAAGTTCTCTCGACCGTAACAAGTGAAGTTGCTTCCTCTGGATCTTATGTCGTACTTTTCTATATCGTTTTATGCACCTCATCTTCAATGAATACTAATTTTACTAATATATCCTTTTCTCTTGTTGTTGTTATAGTAGTTGTTTAAGAATATTAAACGAATAATTTTTATAGAACTATACTACGTTTTTTATTTATTTCCTTTACTCGTGTCGAATCTTAAAGGGGTTGTTATACGATCTTGTTACTAGAAAAAATTAACCTTAAAAGTATGGAAGGTAGAGGTAAAGAGTAACATCTCTTATGGGAAAAAATGTGAAAAAGTGTCCAGCGTTTTTTGAAAATAACAGTTCACAAAACCTTCCAGAATGGCGCTGGTGAACGTAGTACAGTATGGTATGAATGTAGCAATTTTAAACGAATTGAAGTATGCCGAGTTATGTAATAATGTAGTAAATATAACCTTAAAGAATTATTATGAGAAAACGTGTAGCTAAAGTGATTTTATTTCGTGAACTGTGAAAATAGTACGTTTATTGATTGTTTATTATTTCATTTTATGAGGAAGTTATGGGTAAAATTTGTGTTCCTTGTTTATTTGTCAATCCTACTCTAATAATATTTGGCGTTTCTTTTAAAATTGACACTCTGCGTATTGTGGCGCCATCTCAATTGGTTCGATTTCGACGGACACTTTTCATATACAAAGATGTTACTCCTTACCTCTACCCTCCATACTTAAAAGTTACATTTTTTGTTTGTTTCTAACGCGACTTTCAAGTATAAGAAATTATTTTGTTATCGACACATATATATATATATCTTCGTCATTTTTTAAATATCATAAAAATAGTATTTATATTTCAATGTATATATTTATCAATGTACACGCCATATTGAATGATAATGAAGACAAGAAAAAAAAAAAAATACAAACAAAATGTTTTCGATAGTTTTATCGAAAAACGTCAAAGTCTTGTAACGCCCATCTTTTTTTTTTTTAAGCGAATTTTCATCAAATTATCATTTTTAATCAAACATATTTTTATTATTGTTGTATGAAAAGTCAAATGGAGACGATAAATGAAATTATTTCTTAGTTTCTCTCATCTTACCCTTCCACTTTTATCTTTTCTTCTTCCCCCTATATATATATATATATATATATATATATATATATATATATATATATTCTCTTTCTTTTAAATGATATATTATTACTCTTTATCGTATCTTCCAGATGTTTCACGTTAGATTAACGAAACGCTCGGATTCGAGGTATTTTCGGCGTTTCCCCCCCTTTTTTTTTGTCTTTCCTTCTTTTTTTTCGGAGTTACTTTTTGACAGGCCATTTATGCGGTACCTATCGAGATCAAATCTTACGTGGTATCCGTTTAGCGTAGGAATTTGCGAGAACACGTTAAGAATGGGAAGGAAGTCAAGGTCTTAAAAAAAGGACTGATTTCTTGAGAACGGTGATAGCAAAAACGGGGG